TATATACTATACTGCTAATATTGAATTAGCTTTTTATAGTTTAAATTATAATATTTGTCGAAATGTTAAATATGGATTCGAACTTTACATGGTAACGGTGCTTCATTTTTATTATTTTCATTTACTTACATATTTAGGATATGTTTTACCTTGAGGTCAAATATAATTTTGAGGAGCAACAGTTATTACTAATATTTTATCTGCTATTCCTTATTTAGGAACAATATTAGTAAATTGAGTTTGTGGGAGATTTACTGTTTATAATGCTACATTTATTATTTTAATATTTACTTACTGGGTAGGTATCAGTAACTAAATAGATATTTTTACCCAATCACAGTAACTAATGAGGTATTGTGATTATTCGTGATTAGTAATACTGGGTGGGTATTAATAAATAGAACAAAATAAAATATAATGCAAATTTTATTATCTTAAATGTAAGAAATTGATTACAATTTTTTTAACTTTCTAAAATTATAAACAAACAGCTGCAGCTATTAAATGAACATACGCGCATACATACGCCAATATATATAACTGGTTATATATACATACAAAGTAATGATTATTATTTTTTATGTATTAGTGCTGATGACATTGATGGTAAGATGATACTAGTCATGTTTTTATTATCTTTATTGTTTTCGTTATAATTATATCACTGATTACTAGTTGACTTCGATCACTGATCAATGATCATAAAATGTGTTATTAATTTTAGGTATTAACCCATGAAATTGCCGTTTTTTATGAAATGGGTTAACGTAATTTTTTTCCATATATTTTATTTTGATTATTCAAATTAATCACCCATACAATCGAAGTATCTTTGCCAGCGCAGTGGTAGTTTATTGATGCCGTTCTTGAAGAAATCAACTGGACGGGTAAAGAACGGAAGTCTGATGGCGCAAGATCTAGTCAGTACAGCCAATGACGGAGAGCTTCCTACCCCAGCTCTTGTAACTTGGAGATCGTCTGTTATGCGGTATGAGGTCATACGGGACGAGCGATTTACCGGAGCTGCTTGGAGACGTGCAAGCTTCTCCATCACTGTGTACAGTTCACAGTTGACAGTCCTACAAAATTTTATTTTCTATAGAAATAATTTTCCCATTTTTCATTTATATTTTTCAATAATTGGGTATATATATATATATTCGATATAAAGAAGGAAGATTCATTGATGACAATAGCTCGTTTAGTTGCGAATTTCCCGCGCCTATTTTAATCATACCTGCGACTGCACATTCATTTAATGATAAATGATTTTCACTACAATCATCGTTTACTATAACAAATTTTTAGTTAAATAATTGGCATTTAAACGTAAATTTTGACTCTAAGCCTTTTGTGTTTCTCCGATAAGTTGTAGTTCGGTGAAGCTGCGACCTAATGATTTGAAATTTTTATTAATTTCGAAAAGAAGTGGCTGACGTCAATTATTATTCTTCTTATTATATTTTAATTACTGCCTTTTTCAACCTCACAAGATATTTGTAACTGCATATAAGAAAACTTCGTATAAGTAAGTAAATCAGAAACATAGTGTTATGTATGATTCAGACTAAATAAAGGTTCCTAAAAATAGACGATGATAAAGAAAATGCATTAAAAACTACTCAAATAAAAATGCAATAAACTTGTTAAGTTTATAGGTAGTAACGTGTTAAAATAATAAGTTTTTAGGATATTTATGTAAAACATAAGGGTTATAATATTATGTTCTAACTACGTTCACGCTTGCGCATATAAAACTGCGGAATTTCACGTTCAAGTTTTATTATCAAAATAATAATTGACAATCCTGCCCTAAGTTTGCCTTGATTTTACCAACTCAAACTCATTTTAGAAGATCAAAACATAGAGAGAAAGATAGGAGACTATTTTTTATTTAATATGGTTCATCAAATCCGTAAAAATAGTTTAAAATACTCACACAATAAAATTTTGAAGTGCAGGTAAAATATCTGCGACCAAAATTTGCACAATTCTGACGTTCACAGACGTTTCACATCTTTTTGCCAGAATCAAAAGTAAACGCTGGCATGCGACAAAAATCGTACCATAAATAAAAGACTCTAGCTCGAGAGGAGAGGAGTCGTGGTAGCTCAGATGGTTAGCGCTCGCTGAAATTTTCACAGTGCGCGAGAAAACCAGTTTCGATCCCCGCCGGCACCAATGAAATTGTAATTGCAATTTTAAGTGTTGATTTACCACATGCTCAGCGGTGAAGGAAAACATTGTGAGGAAACCTGTATGTCTGAGAAATTAAACAAAAAAATATTTCGCCAACACTCATTGGGGCAGCGCGGTGGACAATTCCTTGCCCTAGGATCCTTTTAGAAATGAGCGGAGGCCTGTGCTCAGGAGTGGGACGTATATAGGCTATATATAACTTTAACTTTAACTTTTTATATATTTAACTTTAACTCTAGCTCGAATAGCCTACTAATGAAATTCAAATGATTGGTTTAGGCAAAGTAAAGCTAGGTAAGTCAAATTAGGGCATTTTACAGTACCTACTCGCTTAGATATCTTTTACCTAATCACAAGCACAAGTGTGTACCTAATCACAATATCTACTAAAGTATTTTGATTAGGTAAGTACACATTTGTGCACCATAATATCTACAAACCAAAAAATTAAATAAGCAAACCTTTACATCTTGAACCATTTCAGTTGAACCAAGACAGGTGTACTGTAATTCTATAGTTTCTTGACTCGTCGTTTACTGCCGTATCGTCATTGTTCGTATTTAGCCTGCAATAAAGAATAAATTAGATCTTGCATGACAACAAAAACCCATTATCAATCCTATCGCATCCCAATTATCCCATTATATATTATTATTGGTTTACCAATGAATCAAGTTTACTTGAATAATTATTTTTGTCGTCAAATTCGCATTCACGTATTTTTATTCTCCTCCTAAAATAAAATATACTATGTAGTAACACGTAGGAATTTAACGGAATAAAAGTAAGTGAACTTTGCGTAATATATCCAATTACTTACAGAATTTCATTCATCTTTCGTTCTCATCATTCTTCGTTGACGTTTATTCTTCTTGAATTCAGGCATTTGCACTAATCAATTCACAAAATTATATTTTCACAATAACACAATCGTAACGTCTTTTTGTAGTAAAAAACACGAAAGCGCATCGGTTGGTAGGTACTGAAGTAATATTATGTTTGCGGCTAAACACGGAATGTCGACGACGGCGACGAGCGACACAGCTACTCGTACGAACGCATACAGCGTAATGCCACCCGCATTCTGCGCACGCCCCTTTATCATAGAATTCACACAATTTTTGGAATTATTTCAATAAAAAGAAAAACGAACTTAAAAAATTAAATAAAACGTGGAGAATATAGATTTTTAAATTATCTATCCATTAGTATAATCCCCAAATGATTAGAGCGTTGCGTTTAGCAACAGATGCATGTAATCAAGAATTTGTAATTTTTTAAAAGTTGATTTTAAATGTTTTCATAGCACATAAAAACAAATTAGAACGTGAAATGCGATTATAAGATATTAAACATTAATAATGTGCTTTTGGATGTAGTTTATTTTTCATAACTAATGAAATAATAGAGTCAGAAAAACGCAATTTTTCAACATTTTGGTCAGGGATACACCTTAAGCCTCTGCAGTTTTGGTAATATATTGTAAAACGATCAATCATCATCTTTGTTTATTTTTAATACATAAGTATTACTTACCTAATAGGTAGGTAATATTATGTAAAAGAGAAAGAAACAAAAATAAAAAAGTAGAAAAAATACGAGTATAAATAAAGTAACAGACATACTGAGACTAATGCATTCTATTCTTTTCCAATTCAACAAAAAATGTGGCCGATTGTGTATAATAACTCTTAAATTACAAAATTTGCACAGTTTTTTCCAATTAAATTGTTAAACAAATACATTGTTAGAAGTAAATTAACAGTTATATTTACTACGTAATGAAATAGTATTTCATAATTTTGTGTTTCGTATTTGTAAATTTCATCATATATTATGTAAATCCCAGTAAAAGAAATAATTTTAGTTTTCAGTATAAATAAGTGAAAATAAAAAATATTGCTTAAATAGTATTAAAGTGTGTTCAACAAACAAAAATAATAAATTAATAACCCTCGTTAGGTATGTTAGACAGCGTAACCTGCAAATAAGCTTAATACGCTTTACAACTAATATTATATGAATATTATATAAAAAATAATTATAAATATTATAATTATTGCTGTTAATTTGACAACAAACTATTTTTAAAATAGAATATTGTTTGTAAAATATCGTAAATAAGTTCTTTGAGTAACAAACAAATTGTCGGTAGATAAATAATGGTTCATAGCGCAAGGCAAAGAAGTGTGAACAACACAGTGTAAGGAAATGTTTAGAGATGACACTAAATAATATAATACTTTTTGATAAATACCTTTGAATAACTTCTTCGAGACAACAAGTCATCTTCACTAGAACGAATGCTGAGAACAGAAGAAGTATCGTTTGCATGCACCAAGATGCTGCCGTGCTTAATCCAAGTGTATCTGAAACCATTCTTCTTAGCAGCTTCCCGAACCTCACGAAATAAAATTTTTCATTTTAAAGTTATGTGCTCATTAAAATATAACTTGTGTATAGTTCCGGGCATTTGCAGTTTTTCTATTGTTAAACATTTCTCTTTGCCAGCTGCTGAAAGAAAGCTATCGCGTAACATCCGATTCATAAACTTAACAATGACGTTCTTACGGCGCCCACTTTTAGGATTAAACTGAGGTACACGATGAATTGCGACGACGTCGTATTTATTAATTGGTTGTTTGATGACAGCAGCTACGTTTTCCGTAATCGAAATTTAATTTTCAATTCGTTTTTCTAGAAGATTAACAATTTCAATGCTGCACTGGCGTGAATTAAGCCCTAAAATATCAAGCTTGTTTCCTACCTCCGTAATCAGATCGTCTTTGTTTTGGGACGATTTATATATTTTTTTCTAATTCAAATAATCGACTGCGGATCTCTCCAGTTTGGGTTTCTAGGTCGTCGTATTTGTCATTAATAAATTGGATTGAAGTCTTCAATTCTTCGAAATCTTCAATGAACTTGGTTATTTTATTATTCTGTTTGTCGAAGAACTCCTTCATTGATGCCATTATCTTCTCTTGGAAAGAATGAAATTCATTGCGTAGATCCAACACATTTTGATCAGCTACAGTTTTACGAAACGTCACGTAGTCAGGTGGAGATTCTTTTTCTATCAGAGAACCGTCTATACTCATTTCATCACAAAGGAGTTCTATTAGAATACCGGGTAGGGATGTTTTATTCAGTGCGAGTGTTATTGAGAGACATAACAATAATTTAGTAATAGTGATTGCTTTCTCTGTATATATATTACTCTGTGCAATAAGTAGCCAAAGTGAGCTAACATTATTCGTAATCGTATGTACACGATAAGTCACTAGGCAATCGGAGCAAACACGAATGCACTGACTGACACACGTCCAGATTGCAGAAGAGCGTGGAACGGAAAATAAATATTACTAATTTAAAGAAAATAAATAATACTAATTTAAAGAATTATATGAATACTAGCTTACGTCTGCACGGAAAGCGGTCATACCGGGTTCTCTATTGAAAATTTTGAGAATGATAGCCCAGCCCTTTTAATGTTTTCAGCTATATGAATACCACGTATTGTCCGAATTAGTTGAGTGGCTTGCATTTTTCTTCATAGCTTTCCAATTCCTATCTCCAAGATCGCGGTTTAACGTCAAAGTATGACCAAATTTGTAAAGACTACTTACCTGTGATAGCTTACCTTTTTGACTCAACCGGACATCAAACTATCTCAATGTTATCAAAATTAGTTGAACAGTATAGTCTGAACAGATTTAAAATAGAAAAGTAATGGATTTTCTTTCTAGAATTCATTTTGGCAGCAGACAATGTTTTTGTATTATATTTTCTGAAGTGAAATTTAAAATTGACAACTTTAAACAACAAGTTTTTATTATTTATTAAATTTTATATTGGATTTTCTATCGTAAAATTTACGTAGAAACTTGTAGTTGGATCGTACAAAATATGTTTTAATTGCATTTAAATTACTAGTGTTTATCTTTTAGTTGAAGATTGTAAAATACTAATTGACGTGCTGTTGACTCTGAAAAAATAAAAATCAAATGTTATTGAAATATTTCAACATATGTATCAAATGTTTTGTATTGAAATATTTGTATATATGTTTCTGGTTACTGGTAAATCACTAAACAAGACTACATACCTAGCTGTGATTCCATCGTATACTACAGTTTAAACGCACAGATTAAAATGATGCTACGCATCAAAAAGATGTTCATAAAGTTTCTATTTACAATAAGAAAAAAATAATGCTTATTGGGATTGTATTTGCAATTATTTTGCACACTATTTACAAGCAAATATGTATTACAACTCAAGCGATATCTTTTTTTTAATGGTGATTGTGAACGTCTATCAAAAGTCTAAAACGTTCAAATTCGCTCAGTTTGTCAACATAGTTATTCTTTATCTTTCTTTTCAGAAAGAGACGGTCTATAGAGATTCGTTTTGAATCCGTTGTTATAGCCTACTATATAGCCTTGGAATAAGGTCAGATTTTATGGTATATTAAAATGCGTTTGTAACATTTTTTTATTGAAATTTGTATGTCCAATGAGCGAATTGGATTTCTAGTGGTGATAATAGGACGTAACCGTAACGTGACGTAATCGTGTGCTTCCGAAGGCACCGGTTCTCGTTAACTAGGCTGCTTACAAACAGTAACAATAGTATTAAATAGGTACGCACATGTTTTAAAAATAACTTACAACCCACCGTAATTGCAAATTACCGCTCTGCACGGGCCCTATTGACAAAATACCGGTTTCGGTGAGCCCTCGAGTGTGAGCGTGACAATTAGATCGTTCGTAGCTATAGCGAGCGCTTGGGTTATCTAGCAGCAGAAGCAGTATACAGGTTGTTTCAGAAAGTGTGAGTTGATCTGCTTTTTTATTTATTGTTATTTATAGTTTTCCATTGTTTATTTTTATTTTAGTCGAAAGTATATGTATGTATTCTATAAAAATAAGAAATATATGTAAATATATTTATAAAAATAAAACAATTAATTGCTGATTTGGTAGGTATATGTAATTATATAATATATAATATTTTATTAATATTTTTTACTCTCGTTGTAGTTGTTCATAGAAATTTTTTTGAATTTTTTTTTGTAATTATCGTCATTGATATCTGAGAATATCACGGGGGGTATTTGGTTCATTAAGGTAGGGGTTAAATATCTATTTGTACGTTTTCCATAATAGTTATATATTTTAGATGTTACGAGCTTATTTTGTGCAACTTTTCTCGTATTCGTTTTAAGGTTAGTTTTATCCTGAACTTTTGTGTTGTGAAATTGTTCTATTAATATTTGCATCTTGAATTTCGTACGTATAGGTTATACTTTACAAAATTTAAATATTCCTTTAAAATTGTTTTCACTGTACATTTTTGGTTTTATTTTCAATATTCTTATTTGTTGCTTATGTATTTTATCTAGGTAAGTTTTAAATGTTTTCCATAACTTGTAATGCCATAAGAAAAAAAATTTCTGCTTTTGTTATGTCTTTATTAGCTATTACTAGGCAAGTATCGCATATTGCATATTGATACACTGAACTATGTTTAATCACATTCCTCATGTCTTTTACAAAGGCAAAATAGTGTAAAGGGACAAGGACCGATCCCTGAGCTGTTCCCGTAGTGACAGGTATTTCATCACTGTAGTCATTTTCAATTCTCGCCCGGTATTTTCTATTTTTGAGGTAATCTTCATACCACCTGAGTAGAGGCCCACGTATGCCTGTATTTTTATGTTAATGAATAATAAATATTAAATTTATGTATATTATGTAATAAGTATTAAATTTATGTATGTTAATGATTCACAGTGAGTTAATTTTAAGTAGTTTACTACTTCAAAACTGTGGTAATTTTTAATTTACATAATAATACCACCACCATGTCGCTGCTCACGAAACACACTGCACATTGCATAACCGTTTATAGAAAAGAATTGAGAAAAATTCCTACTTCAGTAAGTACAATAACGTCTATAGCTATTGGTGATTGGTTTATTGTGTGCAGTAATGAACTAAAGTTCTTGATAATTGATCTAATATTAACATGTACAATATTAAAAAGTGTAGTATGTTTAGGTAAATAGGTGCTAAAGTCACAAATTTATCAAATCATAAATTTCAGTTACTTCGAAAGTAGTGCCTAGTGCGTAGAATTTCTACTACCGACTTACAATCTTTTCTTACTGGCTTATCGTTATCATTCTTATGAAATAGAATTCCACCACCTTCGAACCATATATATTTATAAGTAACCATAAGTTTTTGCTTAGCTTGCCATAAGAGAGTTTTATCCGCAATGGATAGGGCACGTCGTATCATTCATTATCTTTGTTCTAGCTACGGCAGGATTTGGACAAGAAAGGATGTCCTTTGCAAGTGTAGTTACTTTTCTTGCTGCTTTTATCCATTGATCCACTTGTATTTCTTGTTTTAAAGATACCTGGATCATGCCCTCCTTTCCATTTTTCCCTTTCAATTTTTTAACTGTTTGTTATTTCTTTTTTCCCAATATTTAGCTTCGTAGCTAATATATTTAGAATAATTTCCGTATTTTCGTCTTTTATTTCGGGTACTCGTGCTAATTCGAATGTATTATTAAGCTGTTTTTGCTCAAGGCTTCTAATATATTGTTCCATGACATCGATTTTCAGCTCTAGATGTTTGTTTTGGTTCATTAAATATGTATTCTTGTTTTTCAGTTCTTTTATTTTTCCGGTAATCATCGCTAAAGTGTCCATCATTCCGTCCAGTTTTTGACAATAAGAGCTGAGCGCTTCGCTAAATGAGCCTATTTCTTTCTTTACTGCTTTTTTAATCTCGAATACTATGTCGCTTAGTAACTTTTTCATCGCGCTGGATCCGCTGTCGGTACCTTGTGTTATTACCAGTTCCGCCTCGTCTTCCTCTTCCTCTTCTTGTTTACCGAATGACTTTTGTCTCAGAGTTTTACAGCAACCATCTTCGCAGGTCCATTCGAGATTCTCAGTGTTGCGCAGGGCCGCTAATTGCTTAGATGTTAGGCCGGCTCAAGCCTGGGTAGCGTGCACAGTTTAAGAACATTTTTTGCACTCGAGCATAGTAGATTTCTTGGCAGGTTTGTCAAAGTTGTCACACCTGGGCATTTTTGCTTTGCTTTTATTGTAATTTCAAACTAGGGATGGAAATAAAAAACTTTGTAAGCATAAACACAAGTCAGCTGTTTCTTGTGTATCGGGGATAGTATGACACGTTCACACAACCATTCCATTGGTTTATCGTAGATATGAACAATATCTGGGTAAATTTCGGATAGTAACTCCTGTAACGTACATACATCTGTGCACGAATTATCAGGGATGGTTATCATTCCGTCATTCATCGGGTAATCACCGTTGCCGATTTCAAGTAGAAGATTCGCAAAGTCACCAGCAGGCTCTTTTCGCCTAAGTGTACCCGCGTATTTTTCGAGAGCTTGCTTAAATTTGAGGCCATAAAGCGAATATCTTAATACACGCCTTAACTTCATTTGCTCTAGTTCCTGTTGGCACTACTGGTAGAGTCTGTCTAAATTCTTTAGCCAGAAAAACCGTGACACTACCCGTTAACTTCTTATTTCCTCTTATATCTTGTAGAGGTCTGTTTAAAGCCTCTACACCACCCTTATGAACCATGGTTATTTTGCCCCACACTATAATTTTCGTATATTTTAATACTTAAAATTACTTTATTTCAATATAGTACAAATGGGAGTATCGGCTGTTGTTAAATTGACAGGTAACTTGAAGGTAACATGAGCAGTTCGTCCACCCTCAAGCAATGTAGCTGCGATCTCAGAAGAAGTCACAGCCAAAACAATCAAGTAGTTTTAACTTTTGCTAATAGCAAATTTATGAGGAATTTTTTGCCTGTTCCACCGGGAGCATCTTTAGAGAATATTCGACCCTTATTTGATTCAATTTAAAATAAAATCAATAAAGAACTAGATGTCTATTCGAAACAATATATCGAATGTAAAAAGGTGGTAGATTATTGGTTAGAGTCACTTAATTATGAGAACACTGAGCTGCTTCTACATACAGTAAAATAGTACACACACACACGCGCGCGCGTGCGCGCGCGCACACGCACGCATGCACGCATTCGCATACATAAACAAATACTAATACATATTTCATAAGTATATAATATAATATATAGATATTGATATGGAAGAGCGGATTCACCTGGTACCAGCATTATTTGCTTAAAAGGAGAATCCGGCCACTAATGTCTGTAAACCAATTCTATTTGCTGAAATAAATTTTATTATTATTATTATACCTAGGTCCCTCGATAAAAGATGATGGAAGGACAACCATACATCCTAGTTGGTTGGCTTCTGCGTCCTGCCGTCCAATAGCATCTTTGAAATGGATGTAACTATCAGCACGTTCAATGGATTGATTATTTTTGATATAATTTTATCTCTCTGTTTCTATTTTGGCGTATTCGTCTACCAAATATTGACTAAAAAGGGCACGATAGTTCACTAAGTAGTTATCTTCTCCTTCTTTAATCATTATTCTATATGAATAGAAACATGCAGACAGTTTTATTAATTGGCAATTTAGTTGTGGGATCGAGTTGTGCTATGTTGATTGAATACCCATCACCCCCCTAGCAAAATATCAGTGGATACTTTAGCGCATCATATGCTCGATGTATCTCACGAATACGCTGAAATGAATTACTTCGGCTTTCGAGGATGATGTCTCTTCGATCAAATTGTTGATCCACTTACACTAAAGTCACTTGATTTGTAGTTGGTGCATTGTACCTATCTCTATGTTCTTCTGGTGGTTTTTATCAGCATGTATGACAACTTTGTATGACTGTGTAGGAGGGGCTTTATTAATGGCATTTTTCAGATCTTTTATATACTGGTTCACTTTTATTACGGGTTTTGATGCAGCATATTCTGCAATTTAATTAAATTTGACATTATATTTATGAATATTACCCATAAAATGGTTATGATCTGGGTGTCGATCATTAATTAAACCAAAGAGTGGTTCAGGCAGTTGAACTTAGTGCACTTTTCCAGCGCTGCAACACATGCCAGGTGTCTCATCCTTACATTTCAGCGCATTGCACCACTGACACTTGTATGTCATAGAACTCAAGGCTACAGTGTCGTCAGTTCTATAAGTAATATCAGGGTCATATGTCATAGCAGAATGAACCCTGTTTATACAAAAACGTAGTGTAATGTTTTCCTCATACCGTGACTGAATTTCTCTATGCACTAGTGGATTCGCATTTTTTCACATCGCGATTTTTTTTGATAAGCGGACACAGCTTTACGATTTCAATCTGTCTTGTTCTGCCTATATCTTTTTTGTGCACTCTTTAATTGACTTTTTCTTGTGTAATTAGTAAATCTCGAATTTCGTTTATTTTTCTTTTTTTATATTTTAATGTTGATGATACAGATTGATCTGTTCCGCTGGTTGGAGATTATATTTTACTGTTTTCAGAAATTGTAAAAGTTAAATGGTCAAGGTATGAAAAAGGATCACGCCCTTCGACAGGTACCTCCATGCGACGCTGTGTAATTTTCTTCGCAACAATAGGTAGATAAGCGTGAAAAAGTCCTTTAGATAAATCATGGCTAATCCGTATTTGCCTTACGGGACAGATATCTGTTCCGGAATCTGTGCATAGCAGACATTTCGATATACTTCAAACCGAAAGGTAAATATTAATCCTACAGCTACCAACTCACAAAGTCCATCGTAAGTTTCATTTTTTAACATATCGGCTGAACATTCACTTGCTGTTGAATAATTTACGCCATTTCTGCCGTGGGTCATAACTGAAAACCTAGGCCAATTATTTACCACAAATCTAACAATTTGTTAACGCATCATAATCGCATTTTCTTGGGTTCCGTATATTAAAAATAAAAGAGCATAAAACAAACAGGCACCGTTACCTATAACGTGGACGACAGTATGTTCTTCCTTTTTTCCTTTAATACCCCTTTCACTCGGCTACTGATCTAATCAGATCATACAATACCTACCTTACGTCGGCTCTAGTACGGGTCTAATTAGATCAGATTAGATCAGAAGTACTGCCTTATGAAAAAACTATTTTTTCCTTTAAAACAAAACCAAAGACAATATGCAATAGATAATAGTATCAAAGACAAAGATATGCTCTTTTATTTTAAACCATAACCTGGCAATGTTTCTTAGAAAAAAAAAAGAAATCACTCTGAACTTCCGGCGTTCCACGTGTCGTTTTGATGAAGGTGCTCCGTCTTTTTTATAGAATTTTATATTTGTGTCTGGACTAAAAACGAAAGTATTATACTTTTTTTATATTCCTTGTAATATAGTAAACACGTAGATATGTAATTTGTGGTATAAAAAGTAAAAAGTAAATTGCCAAAAGTACTTCAAAATCCGAAAGGCCCGTTTTGGCGGGTGGGTCATAAATGTGTTATTTTTCAAATTCTCATTTATTTTTAGTGTAAAATGTAAGTAAAAATAGTTTTACTACATATTTCAAATAACATGACGTTATATTTATTTCAAATTCACACAAACATATTTTAGAAATATTGTTCGAAATGTCATACAGATAAAATATGATTATTTTTTTTTAATTTTTTAATATTTTAATATTTTGGTATGAGTAACGAATGAAAACACATAAAACATAAAAATATACATATTTCCAAACATTTTCATATAAATTTCTCCAAAAGCAAAAGTGTAGAATTCAAATTAGTAGTAATTTTGTCACTAAAATTGAAGTATATACTACTACTATGCTATACAGGGTACTTTATGTATTTTATTACAATTTCTAGCAATCAAAAATAATTTTATTCGATATTTTATACATTCAACAAGAATTCCTGTAAGTTTTATCCATAAATATTGTCTCAAAGTGAAAATATAGCAAAATTTGCAATATAGCAAAAAATTTCCTAACTTACAAATTTTCCCGCCATTAAGGTCCTGAGGGAACGGGAGTATAACATGTCGCGCGCTGTCAGAGCTAAGGTAATACTAAGAGTTTCTACAGTCATTTTTTTCGATGCCATTTTCGTAATTAACGTCCCGAAACCATAAAACGACACCCATATTGACATTTCAACCACATCGCACTCCCACAGGGAATGATGGTAGGTATTTTCCGTCTGATACGTTGGATTTTGAAATAGTTCTTGTTGTCGCAATCAGCGATCCGATGAACCATAAAAATGACACCCATGTTGATTTTCGGAATTTGTCACCCCTTTTCCACCTTTTAGGGGTTGAATTCTGAAAGTGCCTGAAACACTTGTTTGCTAATTTATTGATAGGATTACTCCTGTGAAGTTTCGAATAAAACAGTTTAACTAATCTTGTTTCCCCATACAAATTTTCAACCCCCTTTTCACCTCTTTAGGGGTTGTATTTTCAAAAACCCTAGAATACGTAATTATTTATTTCTAATCGGTGACTTAATAAAAAAGTTTCAGGCTTCTAGCTTCAAAAATGACGGACTTCCATACAAACTTTTAACCTCTCTTTCACTCCCTTAGGGGCTGACTTTTAAAAATTCTCTCTGAATTGATGCCTACGTCATTACAACTGTATGTGTGCCAAATTTAAGCGAAATCCGTTCATTGGTGTCGGCTATGCGTTGATAGACGAGTCAGTCAGGTTTGCCTTTTAGATATGTGAATAGAAGATAAAATGTTAAAGGTGTGCCCCATTACTTGTGCTAAGAAGAAGAAACATTTATAGAAAGAATAGCCACATATCACTTGTTATATCTGAATATGATCAACTTTAAAAAAGGCAAACATAAATGTGAATATTTTTTCAGGCGG